AAAAAAAAAAAAAAAAAAAAAAAAAAAAAAAAAAAAAATTCTGGACAAAACTCAAATGCCCGTGTTCTCAGAATACAGTTTTTTAGTAATTTAAAAAAAAATGTATTCTCGTAATACGTTTTAAAATTATATTTGTAAAATGTAAAAAAAATTTATTTCCGAAAAAAGTCGAATTTAAAACAATAATAATTATAAACCGTACTGGAGGAATGTGTTTTTTTTTTTAAAAACCCTAAATCAATTCTAGGGTTTGTAAAACGTAGTTTCGAAATACGTTGCTATAATTTAGTTCTTTTTTTTTTTTAAAAGAAGTCCGTTGTAATAAAAAAAATAAATACCTAAAAACATATTCTTAGAATACGTTTTTTCGTCGAATTATAAATATGCAAATTTTTCTCATTTTCGGATTTGGATTTTAGGGTTCATTCACTCCAATTTTTTTTTCACCTTAAAAAAAAAAGGTTTCAACCTTCAATCGGCACGAAGAGGTTAGTTGTTATTTTAATGTAATGTAATCACATTTTTTTGTTGTTTATGAATGTGTAAGAAATATTGTTGGGTTAATGAGTATTGTTTAGAAAAAAATGATTGTTGATTTAATATGAATGAATTCAATATTACTAGTACAACACCCGTGTATTACACGGGTGCTTGTTAAAAAATTATTTTTAAATTTTAAAATTAATGAGAAAACTATATTAAATTTAGTTTACTTTTAAAAAAAAAATATATTACTATATATTTTAGAATGATATGTGTTATTTATGACTACATGTGTTATATTATATTAGTTTTTATAACTTATATAATATAACTACTTGAAATATAAATATATTAGTTGATAAATAATTTTATTTTTCTAATTAATATTAAAAATAATTTTATTATTGTTATAAAGATAAATATAAATTATTTTTTTTATACATACAATATGGATGTTAAATCGAAGCTCATCAAAAGAAAATTAATTTGATATATTACATATGCAAACTGATAAAAAATACAAAAGTTATTAACTTTTAAAATGTATATACAATTCAATAGTTATAATAAGGAATGATATTAAAATGCAATTAATACATGTAACATGACCATAAATAATCAACATATTTATGGTAATCCGAACCTAATTATTTTTGGTTTGGAATTAAATTAAAATTTACCCAAGCCTAATAACGAAGCATGTAATTTTGCCACATAGGATTCCGAAGCACCAGAAGGCTCAGCGCGTTCTGGATTAATATATAAGGGGGATGTTGGATTATTTGTTGAAAATATTATTTGTTATTTTAATGTAATTTAATCACATTTTTTTTGAAAATAAGGTTTCAACTTTCAATCGGTACGGAAAAGAGGTTAGTTGTTATTTTAATGTAATGTAATCACATTTTTTTTGTTGTTTATGAATGTGTAAGAAATATTGTTGGGGTTAATGAGTATTGTTTAGAAAAAAATGATTGTTGATTTAATATGAATGAATTCAATATGATTGTTGATTTAATATGAATGAATTCAATATTATTGTTGGATTATTTGTTGATTTAATATTTATTCACTCCAATTTTTTTTTTCACCTTAAAAAAAAGGTTTCAACCTTCAATCGGTACGGAGAAGAGGTTAGTTGTTATTTTAATGTAATGTAATCACATTTTTTTGTTGTTTATGAATGTGTAAGAAATATTGTTGGGTTAATGAGTATTGTTTAGAAAAAAATGATTGTTGATTTAATATTGTTGAAAAAAATTCGGAGTGAATGAACCCTAAAAACCAAATCCCGATATGAAAATGAGCAAAATTTGCATATTTATAATCCGACAAAAAACGTACGTTTTAGATATTTATTTTTTTTTTATTAAAACGCATGTCAAATTTGCGTAGGTTTTCTTTTTTTTTTTTAAAAAAAAAGAAATTAAATTATAGCTACGTATTTCGAAACTACATTTTAAAGAAACACATTCTCAAAAAACGTTTTAATAGGTTTTTTTTTTAAAAAAAAATTAAATTATAGAAATATAAAACGTATTTCAAAAATACGTTTTATGAAAAAAACGTATTTCGAAAATACGTTTTATGGACCCTAAAATTGATTTAGGGTTTTAAGAAAAACGCATTCCTACAATACAGTTTAAAATTATTATTTTTTATTTAACTTTGACTTTTTTCGGATTTAAATTTTTTTATATTTTACAAATATAATTTTAAAACGTTTTACGAGAATACGTTTTCTTAAAAAAATTAATTAAAAAAACATATTATGAGAATACGTGCTTTTGAGTTTTATCCAGATTCTTTTTTTTTTTTTTTTTTTTTTTTTTTTTTTTATTTTTTATATATATATATATAAACCACCCTCACAATGATTTTTTTGTTGGTTGCTTGAGAAGCTGTCTCCAGTAAGAGTTGTTGCAAGAGCAGCAATAGGTAGTCGCATTTAGAATAACAGGTAGTCGCATTTAGAATACCGTTTTTAATATTTTTCTTTTTCTTTAGATTTTCGAGGGAACATCTGCGGATATTTTGCTCGTTTTTCTTTTTGCATTTTGAATATTACTTTACTTATTTTTTTGGCTCTTCATTATTTTCAGTTTTTCCAGAAGCTCTTTTTTCATTCAACTCCTAAAAGTGATGTCACACCCCGACATTGAAATACGAGTCGGAGGACATAAAAAATATTCCATGTTCTCCTAGTCCCGAGCTTCGCTCATGCGAAGAATGATGCTCTCAAGAATCCAAGGTGCATCCAAAGAATGCCTCGACATTCTCCTTGACTACAGCCTTGCTCGAAAAACTTCGTCTGGAAGTATACGGAGCTAAAATGAAACAAGCTAATGAAGAAGACGATCATCATCTGATGAACAGGTCCCACAAGAGCTCTACTAATATGCACATAATAAGCTCCATTGTCGACAGGACTAATGGGCCGGCTAGCTTGAACGAGACCGTAATGAAATTTTTTACTTGATCGAATTTTTTCACGATTCTATTGATTTATGTATCGCTTAGGCAAGTGCACTTTTGCTATTTGGATTGCAGGAACAGATTTTTTTCAATGCAATGAGGATCAAATGACACAGTTGCTTTCGGCTGTATGGATACAAGTCAATCTACCCGATAATCTACCTGCCAATATTGAAGCAATTGCACATTCGTTTTGTTTAGCGCTTATTTCTTGTCGGCTTAAGGTTCTTACTTAAATACATATCTTTTGTTTCTTGGGAAGTTCTGTCTCCTCAATCTTTTGATTTCTTGTGGGATTTGCTTATTGTGAATGAAATTCTGCACTGTAGAATGTTTTTTTTTTCATTATTATTATTATTATTGATATTATATTTTATTATTAATATTATAATTTATTTATTTCACAATGTGGCATCTTTAGATATATGCTACAAATGTTGGCTAACTTGCTTTCTTTACAAACACTGGTCTCTTCATTTGTGCTATTTATTTCTGGCCTATTAAATGATCCCCGTTTGATTTTTTTGCAGAACTCGAATGATAGTCTGATACTCAGATTTTTCCAGCTTCCCTTTGACTCCAACCATGGTTTAGAAGTCTTGCCAATGAGACATTTTTTTTTTTTTTTACTTCGCACGATTGGAATAATATTTTGATTCTGATGTATTATTATCCGATTACAGGGCCTTTGCCTCCAGCTTATCGGAGGTCACTCGTACTATCGACTGCAATGGTGATGTTTGCTGCCAAGCTATATCATATTGCTGAGATTCCTGATCTGCTCAACTTATTGCTCGAGTCCGATGTAAGTATTAGTTTTTTTTCCCCTTCTGTGCTCATTATTTATGCTTTTCTCCTTTTAAGTGGACATCGATCACTTGAAATTTGGATATATCTTTTACTTGGTTAATTTTCGTCCGAATTATAGTTTCTTCACCAATTTACTTTTTTCACACCAAGAAATCATTTTTTATTTCTCAAACAGTTTTTTGAATGAATTTAGGTGGACGCATACATAGGCATCAGAGATGACTTTCAAGTTTACGTAAAGTCTCACTCCGAAGTGAAAGACTTCGGTTCTGCTTCTGATAATGAAGAGGCTTTGTTGACACATGTTGATCTTCGGGGCAAGGCCCACAGGTATGACAAACACGTGCTTTTCATATTAGTTGAAAGTTTATCTACCATTACAATGGTAAATCTTTTTGAAGCTGGTTATTTGAGATGGAAAAATGAGCTTATGTCAATTTTTTTCTTTTACTTTTATTTATTCATTATTATTATTTTTTCAATACTATGAGCAAGAGGACATTGCTAAGCAGCTAATGGAAGGATTTGCACCGGACGAAACTTTCATTTTTGGCTCACAATCGATGCCTAACATGAATCACTTCCAAAGGGCTGCACACTCGAAGGGATCACAATCATTTGATGGAGTGAGTCTCCTTAGGGGTATTTGCTGTTACTTATTCCTTTTTATTCCTTTAAAAAACCGATTGTTAGGTTTCGATTGAGATTTTATTTTATTTGTAAGCAGTCCTTTACATTTTGAACCTTTGGTTGTCCGAATGGAAGGTTTTCGAGGGACAACAGATGATGTGTTTTGAAATATGATTGTTTTTATATTAATGAAGGAGTTTTCGGCAAATTCGCTAGTTGAAGATGATGCTATGAGTATATCATCATTTGCCGATATAACTCGTTTCATACCCAAGGTGCCCGCTTCTCCTTCTCTTTCTCCTTCAATGTCTCATATTGCGAGCATTGGCCAGCTGCTAGAATCGGTAATACCCTTTTCCCATATTTTTTTTTTCCTTAAATTCTTTATTTGTATAACGATAACCATACTTCGTAAGAAAAATAACTAAGGTAATTGTTTCTTTTCAGGCAACCTTTAGACACTTGAGGTTGCGGGACAAGTGGCCGGATCATCTGTGTCTACATCACCACTTCCATACAGCGCCATCACGAATCAGTGTGAGGCATTTGGTACTGAATCCAGAAAGAAGCTTTCTAATTGGCTGGTTCAGGAAAACACCTGCCCCAAAGCCAATGGTAGTTTTGTTTTTTTTTTTTAATTGGAAGTCGATTTGTTTTACTTTTCAACTTTGCGAAACATGTATTATATGTGTTCTTGGACTTTGCAATCCATAGTATTTTTCGTGGTAAAATGCAACCTGAAGTTTATAAACCTCGATAATTTGTAACCCCTCTTAGATCTTGACTTCACTTTACAGTCATTCCGCAAAAATGGAAACGTGTATGGTTAAGATGTAGGTGATGTTGCAAATCATGAATGCTCATGAAGTTTAGATTGTATTTTACCACAAAAAATACTGCAAATTGAAAAAAACACGTACAGTACAGTACAAGTTGAAAAAAATGTTTTACCCTTTGACGTAATTATACATTACATTCATATTTTTATTTTTTTTTTTCTGATTTTTTGTAACTTGTATTTAGAGATCTTTTTAACTTATCAAGTTTCCCTGTAATTCTTTGCAGATGACCTGTGGAGAACCTGTTCTAGGGTCTGTTTCCTCGGCAAACTCTTGGCTAGCTCTGAGGTTGTCACCTTTCCAGCCCTTTCGACAACTTCGTCAGAGCAGTTCGTGGTTAGTCCTAGTGTGTTTCATAGCTTTGTATATCATTAGATCTGAAATTTAGGGAATAAAAAAATTGTGTCAGAATTTACATCATCATGCCTTGTAGAGTTTGTTGCTGGGGAATATCATGTTTAATATAATGGCCCCTGTAATTTCCTGTTGATTCAGATTGCTTGAAGAGTTGAAGTTGGTAGTTTATATTGGCTCCTGTATCCGACTTAATATAACAGGTATGTAATTTAGTATATTTTTCTTCTCTCTTTTTTGAGATTTATTGTAGTTTCCATGAAGCTCGCAACAACACGGACGTACTATTTTCTTTTGAGTACATTTCCCTCTACCTTTTAGGCTCCGATCTACTACCTTTGCCTTTAGCGGCTTTTACAACATCTTACAACATTTTCCGTCTCTAAAAATTGAAGATCTTAGTAATTAGAACGAAAACCCGCTCTGATGCCAATTGAAGTTTTAGAGTAGTACCATTATTTCACTTTCAAACTTACAAATGATACAAGTACATATAAAATTGTGGAAACCAATAATAAATGATGAACTTTCAGGGGAGCGTCCTACTTCTTCCCCCTCATAACTCTTTCCGAGAAGGTGTTTTAATACAAATAGGAACTACATGCCTAGGCTCTCTCTAGCTAACCTACTTTGCACTTCACTCACTCGATATCTCTTCTGGCCATGATATGGACTTACAACTCCATCAATCTATCCCTCCATTAGTAACAGAGATGCTCATCCCAAGCACCGATGAAACACAAAAGATATGTTCTAAATTCCAGGCGAACTACCACTGGAATTTCGACCACTCACTAATAATACAAAATTAAACTTACAAGTACTCTCGATTGACTATGCAATGTATACACTACTTGTGTAAAAAACTCTCACTACTTTCTTGAATAAGAGTCTTAAATATAAAATCTTCCGAAAAAGGTACGTAGGTTCGAAAAGCCATTTCCATATCTTCAAGATCTTCAAGGCGAATTTTCTTAACTTAGGCAAGTTATGCGTTGTCCATGTTCATTAATAATCACACCGCAATCTCTCTCTTTTCATTCAATCACGAATCATCCTTTCTCCTTACCATACGAGACGCCACATTTTCACAAAATAACTTTACAAATTAAGTTCAAATAATTGGTAAGAGTAAAATTATAACTACGTAAATTCTGAAGTAATTGTATCTTCCCTTTTGCTTTTCGTAATCCATCCGAATATTCTATTTCAAGAAACATTAAAGCATAACAAACTATATATATTTTCGAATTGTAACCAAAATATACACGATCCTACATAACCTATCCTCCTTAAGTCTAAATGTATAAATTATGATGTACTTTTGGTGAATAAATTATACATACGTAAGAATCGGGGAAAGAGAGTGTGGTCCCGCACAAGTATGTACTTTTGGTGAATAAATTATACATACGTATGAATCGTGGGAAGAGCTGCGGCGGTCCGACACAGGTGAAGACTTGAAGGTAGGCTTATGTGGACCATAGTCAGGTTTCATCCCAAAATTAATTGGTGAGGAGAGGAGTAGCCCCTCACTTGTGAGTCCCCATCATTTTCTCTGCAGAATTAATGTGGGACAACTCACAAGTGATATTCCAACAAGTCCCTCACTTGTGAGTCCTTAATAGGCCTAAGCCCAGGGCAGGCCGATAGTGATATAGACCCAGGTCGGACCCATTTTCCATATAGAATCAATGTGGGACAACTCACATGTGATATTCCAACACGCTCCTCTATGCTACATTTTCTAGAAATAATTTTCATCCTCTATGCTATAATGGTCCATTGAAGAAGTTTGATAGTTATTCAGCTATTATTGGAATGAAAAAGTGAGGTTTACATTTTATTATTCAGCTATAATAATGTACATGACATTTTTCTAAAGGTAAAAAATGTGACACTTATTTTTTTTTTATTTTTTTTTTTTAAGTAACACCCAGGAGGGTGGGGTTAGGCCGGACCCCAACCTGTAGTGGGCTGAAAAGTCACAAATCTACAAGTCCAATGTCTGAAATACATCAAAAAAATCGGAAAGCAAAACAAAAAAGAAAATGAAAAGCAAAAGCTGGCAACAACTGCCAATAACACAAAGCCACTAACACAAAAAATGTGACACTTTCACATTGAATTGTGTTCCAATAAGAATAATCAATTAATCAATGAAGTTTTCCATTTATTTTCTACATGCCATTGCAGTAATTATATTTCAACCTGCTTGTCCCTTTTCTACATCAAAACATAGAAGAAATTCATTTTTTAGTTGATTTTTGAGAAATTGAAAAACAAAAGATTTTTGATCATTTGAATATATAATTGCTTATATATATAAGCAATTATCTTTTTTTTTCCTTTCTACGCTATTCTTATCTTTAAACTAAAAAGATTAATCAAAATAAAAAAATTTTACAGAACAAAAAAAACCCTTAAATTAAGAAATAAGTTAAGAAAGAAGAATTCCTATAATGGAAATAAAAAAGTCAAGGAAAGTACAATACTACGAATTGAAAATAAAATAAAGGAGCAATAATCCCTCTTGATAGAAGAAGAAAGAGTTTATTGCTCCTTATATTTATATTCTCTTTTCAAAACCTCCTATACACTAACTAAGACCGAGTCTTATCCATTTGTTATAGCTTCAATAGCAGCTAGATCTAGAGGGAAGTTATGAGCATTACGTTCATGCATAACTTCCATACCAAGGTTAGCGCGGTTAATGATATCAGCCTAAGTCGATCTTGAGAAAGCATATGACTTCCTTAGGTGGGACTTCATTGAAGAGACTTTGAACCTTGCCGGCTTCCCCCATAAGTTCATACTGGCGGTGATGGCAGGCATACGCTCAGGCTCGATGAGTTTGCTGTGGAATGGTGAGATCTGTGACGAGTTTACGCCATCGAGGGGAATCCGCCAAGGTTTGAAGATGCTCGACCAAACAAACGAAGCGAAGCGCAGTGAAGTCCTTGGAGGGCTTGTGAGTCTCGGCGCGAAAGGAGAGAAAAGATATAATTGACCTGAATTACATTTGTCTGGGCGAGAAGGGACTGTGACTCTTAGTCTATTCTCATCATGATCGATTCACGTCCCCAGGTCTTT